ACAGATAACTTAGAATCAGATGTAGAACCCTTCCAGTGGCTTTTGAGCAATAATCATTAAATCATAAAACATCTGAGCCTCGAGATTTTGTGTCACTTCCTTTTGCACTTAACTCAAATAATGTCTTATTGTTCTTTTAAAGTTCATCTCTTCAAATCTACCTGAGTCAAATTTGGGTAGAGGATTATAACTCGTTGAAGGACATTGTTAGTTTCTTTGTAGGAAAATGTTTGTGCAATAAACATATCAATACATGTTTGATGCATAATTGAGTGCAATAAATTTAAAATGTTTTCTTTTTTTATTTTTGCTACTATTTAGTAATTTTGTTTAAAAAAAATTCATCATCATGGAGTGAGGAACCTACTCATATCCCCTTTAAAAACTCCAAAGGTAAAAATTCCTTCACTCTTAATTTATCTTCCCTTTCTCTCTCTCTCTCTTTCTGAACACACTCCAAAACAAGAATCAAGCATGCCAAAGATGTATGGAGTTCTTCTTAGCCCGTGTTGGTTAGAAGCTTAAACTTTTTCTCTTCGGGAAAGCTCAAGTTCAAATAATAAACTTTACAACTGAAATTTTACATATGTGATGTGTATTAAGTTTGTACTTCAATTTGCTTAACAGTTCCCAAAAAATCATGCAAACATGCGATGTAAAAGAGCATCAATATCGCATTTAATTGCCAGCTCGCCTTTGCATTTGTTACTTTACATATGAAAAAGAGAGATGGCAAAGCAAGGAAACCCTAACTTCCCCATTGGCGTTTCATTTTCATTTAATCATTTAATGAATCCGAAATCTACATTGCCAAGCAACCAACATAACAACCAATTCTGACACCACCTCTCTCTCTCTAAGAGAAGTAATCACACAAGAAATTAATGCCAAATATTTTCAGTTGCAAATACCAGAGATACAACTCCTCAACTACGTATGTCTACAGCAGACTTGATTAATAAGCCACTCCCTCTGCTTATATATAGCTTGCTCTCCCATACAATCTCATATAAAGATCTCTCTATCTCTCTTTCTCTCCCGTTGAAATAGAGATAGAGAGAGAGAGAGAAAGCGAGAAGTAGAGAATCGAGAGATGGCACAAGTAAAAGAGTTCATGCCGGCTATTGCGATGGTGGCTGTGCAAGCAGGCTATGCCGGGCTCAATGTTCTGTCGAAGCTCGCGCTCGAATCCGGCATGAGCCCTTATGTACTCATTGCCTATCGTCAGATCATCGCCACCTTCGCCCTCGCTCCCATAGCCTTCTTTCTCGAAAGGTGAATTAAAATATTACAATCTTTGTGTGAAATTGGTGCGAATTGATAATACTAAAGTGATTTCGGCATGTTATTGAGCTGCATATCATCCCAATACCATCTATTCATACACGTGAATGCTGTTCGCTCAGTATTTATCAATAGAGACATACATTATTCACAATTTTTTTAAGATAAAATATAATATTTCAATTTAATTGTGTTCGTGAACTCCTTAATTATTTTGCCAGGGGCAACTGATACAATAATTTAATTTCTTCATTAATTCTTATTTCTTATATATCTATATATATATATATATATAT